CTCAATTTTAGAGTATTTTTCTAATGTAAGAGTTTTTTAAAAATAAAAAATCATTAAATAAATTTCTAAAAAGTCTAGATCTATTATATAAGTTAAATTATATTTAAGAAAAACTAATATAATAATTTCTTTAAAGAAAATGATTAAATAATTATTTGTCTAAAATCTTAAAATTAATAATCGTTTCTTAATAGTTTTTATTTAATAATTAATTATAATAAAGTTTTAGAATTATAATTTCTTAATATCTAAATTAAGTATAAATTTACTAGTATTATAAAAACTTATTATTATAATTAAAAAAGTTTAACTATTCTTAGAAATACTAAACTAGTTATTAAAATATTAACTTAGTATTTAAATACTAATTAAATTAGGTTAATATTAATATAAATCTTTACTAATTAATATAATATTAGTAAGATATAGAAATTAAATACTAATACTAAGTTTTTAGTATTAATATAGACTTTTATTTACTAATTTAGTATTTAATTAGTATTTACTAATTAATTTCTAACCCTACTTTAGAGTATATAAAGTATACTATACGAAGCTTTAGTAAGATCCGGGGTTAGGTTAGGGTGTGCGAAGCTCGCTACGCGAAGCGCTAGTTAGGAATTCGGGTCAAGGTTAATAGTTGGGGTTATGGTTAGGAGTTAGGTTGTATTCTGTTGATGTCAGCAAGTAAATTACTGGTATAGCGCTGTTACGGGCAAGGCTCGGATAAAGGCCAGCTCAGACAGGTTAACTTGGTGGATCTGGGACAGGTTATGTGTAACCACCTCTGCCCCCCAGGTCATGTCCTGATATCTAGAATGCCATGAACTCTGGTATCTTGAACTCGATATTAAAGAAACAAGCTGCGGTAGACCACGTTGTCACTTCGTAAGCTGCCCCGTGGAGAGCTGACTGCTGACTCCATCTCAATAATCGTCGAGGGATACAAACCTGGACTTCTAAAAGAAGTCTTGACAACGTTGACCTTAGGCCTGGGGCCACCACCAAGTAGCACGAGTCATTTAGTTGGGAATACGTGGATAAAAGTGAACAGTCTCGACAATTGATCACGTCACCAAAGAAATTCGCCCGCAACTTCTATGGACGGGTATTCAAGTCAGTTTGATCACTCTTTGTATTGAATGATCCCGCTTGTTCATGATCCTCGCCACAAGTCAACGTCACTAAATTTGGCACTTGACCGACTGGACAACATCGTGGGTGGCACAAATTCGAAGACGTCAATGTCGATAAAATGTGCTCAAGTCTGCTTGCGTGAAGATGAATCAGGCTGGAATGCCGATCATCTTTGGTTGTGATATTGGCCACCTTAGCGACAGGAATCTGGGCATCATGGATTCAGAACCTTTCAACTATCGGATTGCCATCAACGCCACTATGCTGCGTATGAACGAGACCGAAATAATGATGGCATGAGAGAGCGTAATGACCCACGCCATGGTGGTGAAGGCCATCCATCTCGACAGGTGACAGGCAACGGGGAGGCCCGTGCGATGCAGAACTCAACATAGCCGAGGACTAGCTGCTGGCGGCAATGGTTGGCTTTAGTTAGATGGCGGATGCTTAGATGGAGGAGTTTGTTTTATCAGGCGGCTGTTGACGCACGACTGTGCCCGCGTGCAGTGCGAGAGGTTTTGAGACAGGACTCCGTCTCATTGCCACTGTGGGCTTGATTATGACGCAGCAACACCACAATGGAGGGTGGCATCCGACCCAGTATCTCTAGGCACCCCTGTCGTTGGGCACCACACCTAGTTACGAAGGCCAGCAGGCGCAAGGGTCGTATCCCGTTGGTAGCATAGCAAGGGGGTAACAAAAAAGCTGGCCCATTCTCGCAAGGCGTCCGCATAATACTTAATAAAAGGTGTAAAGAATAGTTAAGAAAAATAAAAGAATTTTTTTTAAAAAAAAGATATAAGAGATTATTTAGATACTTAACTTAAATTTTATCTTTATTTTAGTTAAGAAAAATACTTTCTAGGGTTTATTAAGAATTATTTTAAATATAGATAGCTAAACTTTAGTACTCTTATTATAGGCTATTTTTCTTAGTTACCTACGTATATAGTAGTTTAGTACCCTCTTTTTATTATATACTAGCTCTAGGCTACTATAAGTAGGTATCTAAATTATTAATGATTCTCTTAAAGACAGATAAAAATAAGAAGAAGAAATCTATAGTATAAATAATAATATATAATATAGTTTATATAAGCCTAGAGTAGTCTATCTCTATATTTAGTAGCCTTAGACTAAATATAGAACAGGTATGTTATAGAGTCTAAGTTAATAATACTTTTTAATCTCTTTTTTTTACTATCTTTTTTTTAATATTATCTCTTTTTTATATTATTTTTTCTTTATATTATCTCTTTTTTATATTAACTTTTTTAATATTAACTTTTTTTATATTTACTTTTTTTTATATTATTTTTTCTCTATATTATCTCTTTTTTATATTATCTTTTTTTATATTATCTTTTTTTTATATTATCTCTTTTTTATATTACCTTTTCTTTATATTATCTCTTCTTTATATTATCTCTCTTTAAATAAAAAATATTAAAATAAAATATTCTTAAAATAAATTTAATAGTTATATTATAAATAATAAGATAATATAAAATTAAGTAATATTTAATTTTTATAATAATCTTCTTATATAGATAGAAAGTATTATAGAAGATAAAGTAGTTATTTATATTCATAACTTAGTATAAAAATATAATTTATAATTAATATTTTTAGAAAAAATAAAATAGATATAATATTTATTAAATATTATTTATATTTTTCTGAATACTAGTTCTATATTTATTTTATTAATTACTTTCTTAATTCTTTTATACAAGGTTTTTTTTTTAAATATAGTAACGCTAAAAATGGTAGCCTGAGAGGGGAGGTGGCTAAAAAGAGGGTGCCTGACGTTAGTGGGTAGGTACCTAGTATTCATAACCTGCATGACGATGCCCAATGTCGTGCAGATCTAACATGGGACACCCTGTAATATTGTTTTTACTGAGTAACTAACATTGCAATCTAATTGAGTTTTCTCTCGACATTTCTTAAGGGTAGATTTTTGTCTTTCTTCTCCCCACACGTGAAACCTTTAGTTAGTGCTGCATAAACCTTCAGCCGGCTGGGCGGTAAGAAAAAGCAGTCTTCCCGATAGGAGCACAAGTGGGAAAGTGAGTGGCTGATTCAACGTCACTAGTTGCAATATGCTAGGAGCTCTAGGCACAGCATCTTACCTCCCAACCCTCCGTAGCTTCGTTCCAACCTGCGCTCTGTTTAGGCCACAAGATGAACCCGGCCAGTAACTTATTATCAAGAGCACCTTGCAAAAGCAAGGTGCAAAAGCACGAGGAGGAAATTGTTGGAGCACCAGCACCCATACAAACATCTCAAGTTAACGACGGCACACTTGCTATTTAGTAATTGCAACAGCACATAATTCGGGTCGACTCGGCTTTTATGCGGCGCCTACGCTATAGTCTATAGCAGTGTTGAATCTAGTTTCTCCTTTTCAACTTTATTAAGACCAACGCCCAAGATTTCCACAGGTCCACCTTCCTACCATGGTTCTAGGTACCACCTCCAAGGTGACGTCGTTGGTGGTCAGCCCCAAGAGCCCCTCGATAAAGCCAGTTAGGAGAACTTACCTGACTAACGTATGTACCTACCCCCTTCCTCATATTTTGTACCCTCCTCGTCTTGACACCAACTTACCGGTTTCTGCTTCCCTCGGGCCATCGTAAACTCGCCTACTAGATACTAGTTTCTCAGACTGCAATTCACCTCTCACTTGACTGTCTCTGTCAGTACGTACCAACCCATATTGCAGCCTTTGGGCTCCCCTCCTTGTCACTCAGCTGGCTGACTGAATCAGCATTCCTGCCACACTGGATATATGCTCATGTGCTGACTCGGCCCAATAGTCAAGAGTCCAAACAGGACTATTTAGTTGATCGCCCGGGCTGCCTTGCATGAATTCACTCGTCCCTGTTTCTACCCCCGGGCCAAACGAATCTAGGCTGACAGCTGAGTCTACGCGTGTCGGGTTGCACAATCACTACCATTACCCATCGCCGCCCACGCCAAGAGAGCGGGCGCAACTCCCCAGGAATACTTACCTTTGCCTGCAACGGCCCTGCATCGCCGTCTTTCCTGCAGAGGGTCATCGAGCGACAATTCAATTTCGCCATCATGACCGATCGACATCGGAACCAACCTCCTGTCAGTCGCTCGGTGAGCACGAATCCCTCGCGCTCCTCTCTCCCGGCCAGCATGGCGCACCAACCGCCATTCCTAGACGAATCATACACAACTCCGGCTAGCAGCCGCTATCCTATTACCACAGCTCTTGGTCATTCGAGCTCTACTACTTCATCAGGCCAGCCTACCACGACAAGAACATACGCCGTTGCGCAGGATTCCCGATCTCGCCCCAGCGCGCGTGACCATAGCTACACGAGGCGATCGACCATGGAATCGACAATAAGACCACCTGTGATTATTACTACATATCAGAATGATCGATCGCAGAACAGCATGAAGTATGGCACCGGTGTTGGCAATAGCAGCCCCGTCCGCGACGACTACCACCAGAGTAGCTCCCAATATTATGCTGTACCTGGATCAACGTCCCGCTCTCGCAGCTCTGCGCGGCCGTATCAGGTTGAAGAGCATCCGCGCCGTAGAGACCGTGCAGACAGCCTCTTGAGCGCCCATAATACTGAGTCTCACCGCAAATCCCGACCTTCCGCCACTTACCCCAGCAATCAGCGTCACAGTGCGGCATCAATTGACTATGGTGACGATGGGTACAAATACACGAATGCTGGAGAGCTGGTCCGATACGATCTCGACCATTATAAACCATCTCGCCCCCAGAACTATGATAGTTTCAATCACGACAAGCGTCCCAGAGCATCACACGCTGGCAACCACAGAAGAAGTGGTAGCCTGAGATACGAGGCTGGCAGGGGCTATACCGTGCCACATGGGCGTTCTGATGCGCCCAGTGGCCCTCCCCCATCAACGCGTGGACTTGACAACATTGATAGAGATTACGCTCTCGGCCGAGTTCGTCAGGCTCACACCGCCACCTCGAAGCCCCCGCAGTCGCTGGCACATTCTGAGACGCCTGGCATCCTTCGAGTTGCAAGAGAGACGAGGTACGGTCGACCTGTTTCTGTCAGTCAGGAGCCATCCTATTGGAGCAATTCACCTCACACTCGAGACGACTACCGAGATTGGCGCAGCCACGTTTATGATCGTAGTAACGACGGCGCAGCTGAAAATAGGCGCCCCCATTCTACTCACTTCTATGATGAAAGCATTTCGAATCGCGGTTTCGGTATTCGCACGAGTCCGGACGCTGCTCCAGAGGGTCGACGTGACGGTCGACGTGATGATCGACGCAGTCGAGACGAACCCCGAAGTCATGGTTTTCTACACTTTGGCGACAAACCACTTGCGGGGCCTCGAAAAGTCACGCAAGATCGGCAATCGTCTGTTTCCGAGGAGAGCAAACATTCTGAAGGCCACCGAAACGACAGTGGTAGAGAAACTTCTTACGGTGTTATTGGAACCGCTGGCACCGGCCTCGGCATAAGTGCGGCAGCAGCCGGGCTTGTTGCTTCAAAGAGAGACAACGAATCTGCGAGGGGTGTTAAGGAGCAAAAAGAGACCACTTACGGCTCTGAAATTGGCAACTCGAGCCGTCACGAGACAGAAGTTACTGGAAACTCCTCACCTCGAGGTCCTATTGAGGCAACTAAGGATCAGCACAGCCTACGACCTGAGACGATGAAAGTGGCCATGGAGGGGGTTTCTGGCCCTGCAGTTAATGGAGGGGCTTCCCTGGTCAAGTACAATCCGCCATCTGCATCTGACTCCGATGAGGCCGGGAGGGGCAGTGTTAGAAGGAAACAACGACCATTGAACTCTTTCAACCCCAATGACACCAGTGACCTTCGCCAGATAAGGGAGCAGCTTGCTGTTCTTCGACTACATGAAACCCAGAAACAATCCGATGAAGCCTCTGCTGGTGGAAATGAGCGTCGAGCCCGCTCTCCATCGCCGACCAGAAAAGCTGCCAGTATCGCTGATCTGGATCAGGATGATCAAAGTTACGCTGTCGGCTTTCCAGTCGAGAAGAAACACGCCCGTGTTGTATCACCTCCTCGTGATAGACGAGATGACAAGCCTTTGAAGGGCATTTTGAAGCAACCAAGCGCCAGCTTCCCCGAGGAAGCCAATCCCATTCGAGAAGGCGTTGCTCCTCATAAAGAAGATAAGAAGCTCAAGGAAGTTCCGCCTGGAGCTCGGTGGACGAGAATCAATCGCAGAATAGTCAATCCCGAGGCTCTCAGAGTTGGGCAAGAGCGTTTTGAGGAGCGCGATGACTTCGTAATTGTTTTGCGGGTTCTCAGTAAGGAGGAGATACAGGCATATGCGGCAGCAACTCAAGTTCTTCGAGGTAAGCGATTTTCTGCAATTTCTGCATACCCTGTACTGACTATCGATTCAGAGCGACGGCGTAATCGCGATAATCCAGACCGTGACCAGGAGCGCAGGCATCAACATGACGATGGCAGCTCTCAGCATTACCGCCGACATCGACGCCAGGTTGAGGATAGCGATCGCGATAGTGGTGCCGAGGCCGGGGGTTGGGGTCTTGATGGGAATCTTGATGATGCTGATGAAGGCCACAAGAGTGCTCGGGACGAGGGCAGTGACAGCTCGAGCGATAAGAGGCGCGATGCTGAGAATGACGGTGGTGGAACGAAAGGATCGAGGCGGAATCACCAAGATGGCGATGAAATCGGGCGGGGTAGGCAAGACAAAGCCCATGGCGATGCTGTCGAAGGAGATACGGATTACCGGAGGAAGACTCGCAGGGATGAAGGTGATGAGCGTGAGTAGCATCTTAGTGATAGCGATAGGTATCACACAATTAGGGCTGCCATGGCGGCAGTCCCGATAAACTCCTTTGATCGCACAGTCATCGAGCATTTGCGTGTACTGTAAATGTGGCCTTGTGTGCCGTGCGATTCCTTTCGGCCTGGTTATTCTGTTGATTGTCTGTGCTATCGAATGGGCGGCCTGCTCCCTGCTAGCCTGGCGAAAGTGTCACTTGGACGGCTGCCCACACACTCGCTGATGGCCTCGACGCGATAGTCTCGTTGGCCACGCAATCGTATTGACTATGTGACTCAAGACTACATTCAGGGAAGGGGTTTGAAATGATTGACTAGTATATATATCAAGTAACAGGCTGCTGGGTTACCCTAGTAGCTACTGTTGACTAGCATCTTGCCAATTCCAGGGTATGGACACATGGTTATGCTGTTTTCCATTTAGTACGGCGTGGCAGCCTCATCACGGGCAGCCTTTGCTGCGTCTCGTGACCATCTGTTTGAACGTGAGTGCTACGCTGCCTCTGTGCATTCGACCATTTAGCTATCAAATGCGTTCGTGGATTTCTACATCAGTTGGTGTCGAGTACATCCAGCGGAAACTCCATATGGATCACGGTCACAACGCCCTCGCCCATATGCAAAAGCTTGCAAGCGAGCAACACAAGCAAAATAACCCGCCGGCCAACGACGAGAACAACGCATGTAGCGGTATTTGTAATGCTAGATAGAGCGAAACAGCAAATACGGAGCGAAACCTTGGCAGACCCGCCTGACAATTCCACGAACCCCGACACCATGCACATAAGAGACGATATTCAATCTATACGCGCACATCGAGCTGGTCACTGATGAAAACATAGCCATAAAGGCACCAGAAATAATGGCAGATGAGCACAAGCTATTAATTAGCGAGATACGAACGAAATAAGACGCCACTTGGCGTCGTATGGTGGCACTAGTTTTAAATTAAAACCACCCTATTAGGCGTAAATCAAACCAACCACGCAAGTGAGTGGTACATCTGAATCCCGACGGTACAAGGAGACACGCCCAAAGAAGTAATGATGCTTCAGCACGCAAGAGACAAATAAAACGGAATGGTAGCGAACGCCCGACGCCCCAAATCCGAGCGTGACAACCGCGTATGTCTTCCGTAGTGACTGACGACGGCCTGAAACCACGTAGTGGGGACGGCACTTGCGAGCTGCCAGCTACCTTAACTATTATCACATTCTGTCACTCACACCATATGACTACCTACTTGCTAGGCTAGTAACGGCCAAGAGGATGTCAATATTGGCTGATAATGGTAGTGGGGTTCCCAGCCAGGGAATGCTCATACCAAAAATTGCGGCCTAATTGCCCAACGGACGCGCCGAGGCGTCGTAACCGTGGTGTTACCTCACCAAGGGGCTGACAAAAAAGCTGGCACATCTTCGCAAGGCGTCCGCATAATATTTAACGAGAGGTACATAGAATAGAAAATAATAGGAAATATTTAAAATTAATAAAAGATATAAGAGATAATTTAAGTACTAAAATATAATCTTATATTTATTTTAGCTAGATATACATTTTCTAGAGCTTCTTAAGAATTATTTAAAATAGGCCGCTAAACTTTAGTACTCTCATTATAGGCCATTTCATTTTGTCACCCGCGTGCTGACCAAGCTGGCTCGGCGCAAGAAAATGACCAGACTCTGATTAATAGAGAACGCGAAACTTTCCTGGCACTACAAGGCACCACAAGAATGGCAGAGCCCCAAAAGGCTGAGAGGGGATTGATATGCATTACGAAATAGCACATCTATATGCCTACCTACCGCCACCCTCGCGACACGGAGCTGAACAAAGACAGATGCCAATTATGCTGATCAGCTGCGGAAGGCGCCTGTTTTCGCAGACTGATGGCCCACGAAACAGCAACGCGATTCAGTCTCTGCTCAGGGGCCCCACGACGGCTGCGTTCCCTGTGACCAGAGCCCATCAAATTCCAATCGAGTCAGAAGGGCAACTGCCATTTGGGTGGTAATAAAAAAAGGCGGCAACTTGGCAAGATCAAATGAACTTTGAGTAGTATCCGCACCCGTACGGAGTACATAGTAGGATTTTATCTAGTCTCAAGCCTCTTACCGAGAAACCTAGCATCGAGATGGAAAACTACATTGGCATTGTAGCGAGCTGAATTGGGAGTATCAGGCTAGCCTCGAGACTCACAATGACTTCGTTCTACTTGATATCATGTGGATAAAACGAAGGCGACTTCGCGCCAGGGTGGTAGCTTCCCAACGGTTCACTCGTCTAACTGCGCCATTTCTGCTTGCTTTATTACCCACGAAGTATCACACACCCCCCCCAGCTCGCTGCGGCTTGATCTGCCGCCTTTTTCAGTAATTCGCCGCTGGTCGATTTCATCTGCAGAGCCAGGACTGAGTCCATGTCGCGAATCTGTTGCCTCAGTGCCAGTATGATAAACAGCATCACCTTGGTAGCACGTCTGTATAAAAAATAGCCAACAGATTCTATCAGAAGTATTATCGTATACTCATCCGGAATCAGCAAAGCAACTGTCGTCAATGTAGGGAGCAACCAGAGCCGGGGCTTTGCAGCCCGTCGGGAACGGATAGTTCCCTGGCGGTAGCGCGCATTTTCGCAACTTGATTGTACGTAAGATGACAATGGAGCTGAACTGGCCGGAGCCATCCATAGGAGCGCGATTCGCCACTGAAGAATTCTTTAATGCTGCCCTGCGACTCATAAACAATCTTTTAGGGACACAAGATCGAGGGCAGGAGGTCGTGTAGCGGTGTCAAGTGTACAACTAATTATCATGGGTGGCTGCATTACTGAATGAGCAAGCATCAACAGTTGTTGTGTCCAAGCGCGCAAAGTGACTCGCGTCGACTGTCAAACTCTATCCCTAGCAGCGGAGGCACTATTTCTAGCTCTTCTGCGCCTGCAACAGACCTTGCTCCCGTCTAGGACTTTGTTTGGCGTTTCTGCCCCAGATCTAGAAGAAACTTAGCTCTGCAGCCTACCATACATAGGCATCTGGTACAAGGAGGCCTGCGTGGCCCGGCAGGGCAGGAAAAGATGCCGGGGCAGAAAGCCCACCAAGTTAGCTCCTGCATGTCCGTCGGACCCTTGTTGAACGAGCGAACAGCGGGAGCCCTTGCTTCGACAGTATACCGACTTTCTGCAACGAGCTAGCTGATGCAACGGCCACACCTTACCTATAGTTATTTTAGACGGGGCTTTCATATATAGCCCTTGCTCTCGGGTGACGTGCCTTCTTGCACAGACGTGGAAGCCATTGGTATACCGAAAGTGATGACAACATTGATTAAGCGGCTAGTTGCGAGAGCTTTCCCAAGGTGCCAATCCCGATGTGGTGCTTCGGCTCAATGTTGGCCTTTGACACAGGAGCTTGCACTACTGGGGCTGATACTCTAGACATATAAGCTGAGCCAGAAAGTAATATCGACAGCTGAGCCTCTCCTCTAGGATACCGCAAGCATCCGCGGATGGCAGCCCTACGAGGTGTCATTGACTAGATGCTGTTAACCCACCAGCGTGCTCCGCCCCTGTATGCATCTCGGGAAACGTTTGTTTGCTCTCGAGAGATCGTGGCGTATTGCTGGGTTGAATACACGATCTCAGAACCCTGTTCTAACTAGTAACTGAACCTTGGGGGGGGGGACCCAGCACATCAGTTTAACAGCTGTATGACTGCAGCTACATAGGTACGGTATCTATGTCACAAAGGATGCACCACTAGATAAATAGCTACCTAAGTAGTAGTAAGTTAGTGGCGTGCTAATAGCATGTGTGTCGACGCACAGCGGCGGCAGCAGCTACGTTACACCTGCCTTGCGCCTTACCTGTTAGCAATTTGTTGAGTCTGGTTTGAACCGTGCCACCGGGTTGCTCATCCGTATGTCAGTTGTATATTTGGAGGTGTGTTCCTGATTCTAGTCTACTTTATCATGCACAATGATAGAGCGAACTCATTCAAATAGCAATGAAAACGAGATCCTAACCCACGCTAACCGACAGAGTAACACGATATAGCATTCTGCCACAATAACTAGTTTAAAACGATGCCCCATAGCTGGCCTGGTAATTCAAATCGCCTACGGATCACTGGTAGAGCAGTATTCTTCGTGGCCTTTGGTGTGTGGGTGCCAGGTATCATGCTCTGTATCCAGTTCATGTTGAGTGAATAGTAATAGTTGATTTACAGTACATGGTCGGGTACACGACGCCGTTAATATTCTCAATACTGATTTTATTGCGATTAGGTCCTCAGGTGCCGGTATGACGAGGCAGCGCCACCTCGGAAGCAAATAGCGAGCATCAGGCAAGTCACATACCTAGTAAGAAGGCCGACGCCGTGGGGCACAGGCAGTCTGTCCCACGCCAATTTCGTCGAATCCGCCGGCGCCCCATTTTCCAGAGACTACCATTACGCCAAGCCTTCCGGTTTTTGTCCCGAAAGGTTGAGCTCCAGCGCTTGGTCCAACTAAAGCTCGCCGCTATCTAATTAGGTAGTCTAATAAGGAAAAAAAAAAGGAGTGGAGGTGGACACTCACTAGAAAGACTAAGTGTGGATGTGCCGCGTGCGTGCCTGGGCATACCTACTCAGTATGACGGAGGCTTTAACTAAAGAAAGCCACCAACTTGTTCGTACCGTCGCGTTGCAGGAGGCACACCATGGTCATAACAAGTACGTCCACGCAATTAGAGCGCAATGCACCATGTAGAATGTAAAGTCGCAAGGCAAATTACAATTGTCATGGCATATGTTTCGGATGAGGACTGCATGCTATTAATATCGCCCGAGGTGAGACTTGTTGTCCCCCCTTTCCAAGGCCCACCAGGCTTGAATTTTTTCTTAGCTAACCTGAGTTGCTGAGTTGGCCGTTGCCAACCAGTAGACTGTGTGCCGGCAGGTCGTTAGGCCCAGTTGTTCGGTAACGCTGTGAGTGAGAAAGAGAGCCTCCTACCCCAGAACTGCTCGCTCATAATGACGGTCTGCCCAAGTCGCCTCTGATCCAACGGCTTTGCGAAGACCTTACTCTTGAAAACAGGGGCAGCCTTGCCTCGTTGACCCGCTCTCCCTTTCCACCCTGACCTTGTCCTGCGGCAACCGTTCTTCTCTCCAACCTCAGTTTTTCCTTCGCCGTTTGCAAGTACTACTTCTGTCGTCTCGAGCGTGTCTCCTACATTCATCGCGATCAGCTTGTTCTCAATGACACGCCGATGAAGAGAAGAATCTGGGACGACAATCTCGTGTGAATCTGCCCATAGTATCCCGAGTCCAAGTCCAGCGCGCTAGCTGATCAACCACACTTGCACAATCTCCTGGCAGAGTCTACGGTCCGCGCTTGCTTCGGTCGCCGCTCAGGATTGCTCGCCTGCATACGAAGTAGGTACCAATCTTGTACCGACAGCACAGTCTTTTCTATCGGTACGGAGTTCTACTGCCGTGTCCTTCACCTCTCGACCAGCGCGCGCGACGATTCGCTTCTAGAAGCTCCCACCACACCGCTGAGCTGCTACACTGTCGACCAGCGCGAGAATCTTGTTGAAAGCTTCTGCGTTCGTGTACCGCCTTCATATTCTATCCCGAGCCGAACAATACATACTATACTGATGCCCTTTGCATCTTCCTGGCGACTGTCAACGACCACCTCGACTACATGAGCACAAGCCATTGCCGTCACCCAACTCCAAGCGACCTAGGTAGCACACACCACATACCGTACAGCAGTGGACAGGGGTTTTCAGTACTGACCCAGCTTCCAGTCCCACTTTTTGTCAAAACGGGACCCACTATCTCTACCAGTTGATATCGTCAAAAGTTGAGAACCGTGTCGCATCGACTTGCAACTGTGACTGCACCTTTGTGTGTTCCTTGCATACTAGGTAAGATTCCAAGAGGCTGATCTGCTTTGGAATGAAACTTGGCTGTGACTACATACAGGGCTGCTTCAAGTCTTCCGCAAAACAAGAGTAACGCTGACGTGAATCAGCAGTAATTTGAGCCTCCCTTGGGATATTGCGGGAGTATCGTTATTCTGAACGAGAACAGTCTTCCTCTATACCGAATATCGTATACGCGCTTTAAAGACTTTATCAGCGCGAGTTCAGGACTGATCTTGACAACGAGCCTTGTTTCAATCAGATACCAGGGGCATCTCGACACGCTGAAGCTCTGATCCCAAGTAAGCGATTTCATTCTTTGCTACATTGCTCGTGGCCAAACATGATGGCAACACATACACAGGCTGCTTCACATTTGCGCTATAATTAGTTGCCAGGCAAGACAGAAGCGCAGAGGAGTGCCGACTTGTGCTACTTTACTTGAAAAGTCTGCTAATGGTGAGACAGCTTTGAGCAAAACATCAATGTCGAGCATCGCGACCATGGCCACGCCTCAGCAGGTTCGCAATCATTTCAAAGACGACTTGGTAAGTTGAGGGAAGCTTATTTTGTCGCGCCCCCTTCGGCACAATACAACACAATCACAACGGAAAACGGGAGGAATATACGAGTACTCTACACTCGAACAGTATCCAAGTGGCTGATTCTGGCACATCATGTGCTAGCATCATGAAAACTACTCAGCTTGATGCTGATGCATGCTTTGTGCAACCTCACCTCAAATGATTCGCCCTCCAAGCCTCAGATCACTTGGCGCGTTCCTTCAAGTGATGGAATCGTGCAGCTATCAAAGCCCAAAAGAGGTCAAGTGACGGCTTCACCTGGTAACGAGGCTATTATACCAACGTTCAAATTGTGGAACATACCCGCCAACATATAAAGACTTTGCAAAGTCGCGACCTTGACTTGGCGGAAAACGGCCAACGAGGGATGAATTGGCTGCCCCAAAACGGGCGTGGCGCCCAAAGCCAAACCAGCCCAGACTGAAAATGACGGGTGGGACATTGTCCAAAAGCCGCGCCAGCCAGCAGAAGCAACAAGTGGCTGCAGAGAAATACCCTCCTGTGGGTCCGCTAAGGGGCTTATCCGATGGCAAGAAAAAAGGGTTGCCGAATAGCACAAGCTCCAAGTATCGTTTAGCGTACGAACGCCAAGCAGCGACTTGTGAACAAGCTATCTGCAGGACCGAGCCGACAAGTCGTACTGCCACGGCGCCACAGCAGGCCAAACTGGCTGGAAAAGAGCTTCCCCGTCACAAGCAAGTGCATCACTTCTTGGCAGTTCTGTCAGCAGCAGATGAGAGACATTGAGACGACAGCAGATAGGAGCAGCTGTGTGCTGAGGAATCTCATCAGCTGTTACGGCGACTGGTGGAGATTGACGTGGATGTTCTCCATCATGATCAAGGCTGGTCGCGATTGAGAGCCAGCTTACCCGAGTCCAAGTCTGGCCTCTGTTTGCTTGTGGTCGACGAGGATGGTAGACTGAACATGGGGGATGGGGAAGACGCGGTGCGCCCCCCGAGACAGGGGCCCCCCAGCCGCGCGACCTGCACACCGCTGTCGCCAACCAAGAAGATCCAACCTGCCGTCGCTATCGTCCGTTGGTTAATCTCATCGCTGCAGTGCCGTATTGGGCGGTTCAGGCTTTGAGTTACCAATTCGCAACTGCTGAGCTTTGCAATTGGCCATTTCATCAAATGCAGGAGCTGTTCCTACTGCCTTGCTTTAGAGCGTTTTCGGCCAACCCCGGCTCGCCGTCTTTCGGGCCACTTTCTGCGCCGTGCAGCAAACGCCATCTCCACCATACCTAGGCTGCTGGACTTGTGCATTGGTATCCACCCCCCCTCCCCTCCGACTGTGCATGAGCGCTTCACACATGCCCAGGTTCCATCCCTGTTGCAAAGCAGGAAGGGGATAAAGGAAGCAGGAAAAGAACGAGGCAAACATGCCATCTATGCAAGACTACATTTTTCATTCTCTACTTCCAAATTCTCTTTTGAAGGAAGAAGAGAAGAGAAGAGAAAAAAAGATATTGCTCAGCACCTCTCTTCAGGCTCGGCATTCTCTTGCCTGTCTGGGTACTAGCCAGGCCTGGCAGTGCTGATGAGCACTGCGACTCAACTTTACTCAGGCTTATTTCCCATCACAAATGGCGGCGCCGTTTTTTTGTCTGTGCCATCTGGAGGTGCCAATCACCACCCGAGCCGGCATATTCCCCCTTCCACCACCCCGCTCCTAACCATTTGGAGCGCTCAAGTCCTTTTATCAGCTCATTTTCGTTACCCACTTCAATTCCTACTTTGGGCTCTCTTTCCTCCCCCTCCCACTCTGGCCAGACACCCGCCGTCTACGCCATTTGGACTCGCTCGTTTGGCCAGCCAATTCCCAGTCTTAATAGCTACTTTTGCTAGGATGGTTTGATCTACCCCTTTCCCACGCTGGTGGTTCCATGTGACCCAGCATCATATATGCGGCATATCCCTGTCTGTTCTAGCAAGTGTCGACCGCAAGGGCCGGTTGTTCGATGCAGAACAATCCCTGCCTGGTGCAGTAACCTCGTTAGCTTCCTTTGCCCAAGCCGGGCTGGTGCTACTTCCCCACGTTGTGGCCCGCCACCCCCCAACGCCCTCTTCACTGGGCAAACAAGCTGCACCAGGACCCGGTTTGCTTTAATCAGCCCCCTTTCTCGGTCTAGCACGCCTCACCCGTGGTATCCTAGTCTGGGCCCAGGGGACGATAGGCTCCACTACAGGCCTCCCCATGCCTTTTTTTTTTTTGACAGCGTCAAGGGGCCAAATAAAACACCACCACTGCCTGCTTGACCACTTTTTGTTTTCTTTCGCGCGTCGGAGTCTTTATTCCTTCTTTATTCTATGTCAATGTCTTACTGATGGGCCTCCTTTCTATGCAGCATCCTCCCCACCAGCAACAGCAAGGTCATCCACCTACGCAGCATTTGCATCATTCTCGACCGCCTAGCATAGTTCATCAGCAGCATCCTGGCCAAGCTCACCAACAGCAACAATCCAGTCATCATAGCGGCTACCACCCGCCAGCGCAGTCCCTTCCTTCCGCGTATCAACAAGGAAATCAACCCGGCAACACGCAGGATAACCTAAACTATTATAATCATCCTAGTCCCTACAGCACACCTGGTGCAACGAGCGGATATACTTCCGCCGGTGAGTACTTCCTATGATACCCGAAGTGAGCTCGCTTTGTATTACTGCGCTCTGGTCTTTACTACCCTCACCGAGGCTTTGGTTTCGCTTTGTATTACAGCGCTCCAGTCTCTGCTATCCTCATCGAGGCTTTGGTCCCAGCTCGTGTCGCTGACAATGTCTTGATATACAGACACACCCGATATGATGGCTGCAGCGCAGATGCCGCGACCGCCCTACCCGCCGATGTCGTATCATACGCCGCAGTCCAACTCTCCGGCATCAGTCGCATCGCCTTCTCAGCATGACCAGCACCGAAGCATCTATGGCCAAGCGCCTTCGCAACACATGCCCCAGTCCATGTACTACCAGCCGCAGCCGTCATACCAGTCTATGCCGACCCAAGCCTCACATTCCCCTTACGGCCATCATGCTCATCATCCGCAGCAGCCAATGACTTCGCAAGCCAACCTAATGATGTCTCACACGGCCGCGCCGAATCAAATGCAACAGCACGCCCCCCAGCACACACAAGCTAGCATGACAAGCAGCCCCAGACCAAAGATCGAGCCTCAGGTTCCTCTGCAAATGCAGAAACAGCCCCAGGGTTCCCCAATGTCCCAGGCAAGCCACCAGCAACAACCGCCCCAGATGCAGAGCCCTGGTAGTCACAGTGCGGCGGTCAATCCTAACGCGGCTCCCGGTCCCATTCCTGCCACCACACCGCTTGTCGTGAGGCAAGATGGCAACGGTGTTCAGTGGATTGCTTTTGAGTATTCGCGCGATCGAGTCAAGATGGAATATACCATTCGCTGCGACGTCGAGTCTGTAAATACAGACGAGTTGACGGCCGATTTCAAACAAGAAAATTGTGTCTATCCTCGCGCTTGTTGCCCTAAGGATCAGTATCGTGGCAACCGACTGATGTATGAGACGGATTGCAACCGTGTCGGCTGGGCTCTTGCCCAGTTGAATGCGCCTCTGCGTGGCAAACGGGGCTTGATCCAGAGAGCAGTCGACAGTTGGCGCAATAGCAACCAAGACCCCCGTCTACGAAGTCGCAGAGTACGCAGGATGGCGAAAATGAACAATCGCAAACAGTCGCAGGGCCCGGCTCATCCGCCCACCGCCCATATGCCTAGCCATGGGCCACCTCCAGGTTTGCCGAACGGCCCTGGCTCTATGGGACCTAGCCCTACACCGACGATGGACAGCAAGCCAAGCCTGGCAAGCATGGGCCAGCCAATGCATCACCATCATGCAGGCGGTCATCCCGGAGCCGCCGCTGGAGGAGATGAAGTCGGTATGTTTCACCAGATGTGATTCCCTACATAGATCTTTTATCTGCTACACATTTGCCTTGTTTTGCTCTTCAGACATCATCGCATTGCCCCCTCTACACCTAGTCGCATCTTTTCGCCATTACGCGTTCTGATTTGATGATACCACCCATTTTTCTGCCATCTATCATCCCCAAGGGGAAAAAAAAAGTTCGCGCCGGTCTATTCGTTACCTCAATTTGGACTACTGCACTTTGTTTTTCTCTCTCATTTGTTCAGCTCGTGGACCATGCGCGGTTTTCCTACTTATTTTGTTCGGGGCTCACCCTGGGAGGGCAAGAATCCTTGAGAGTTCATTCATGTTCTAGGTTGACTTCTTATTTTTACCGCTACGTTTCGTTTCTTATGTCGGAAAATCAAGTCGGATCACTGTTTCTTGTTCTCCTCTACACAATCAAGCCTCGCAGGCAAGGGGCTGTCGCGAAACTGAGCTGTTGTCTTTCTTTTCTCTCTTCGCGCACAATCCTGTACATTACTGTCTTAGGATCATTATCTCAGGCTGCAGCTGCCATCGAGTGTTCTTGCTGAAACGCGCTGCTGGGCGTTGACTGATTTTTAGTTGAGCTCTCCGAGTCTCTGGACTATCAATGTTACACTGAAAAACGTTCTTGGTCGCATTTTTTGGATCCCCTGATTGGCGCGATATATTCTTCTCGGGACTTGATGTCTTCCCTCGCATTCTGCTCATGCCCTTGCACCATTCGCTGCTCTAACTAGTCTGACACGTAAGCTAACAAAATTGTACAGCTGACAGCGACTCGCATGAAAACACTCTCCCATACCCGACCTGTGGCGAAGAAACAACAAACTCTCAAGACGTACGCACTGCCCATGTCTTCACTGGATATAGTGGTCATAGTTATCCTTCTGCCACACCTGATGGTGCCGTATCCTCTCACACGCCTCGTACAGGGTCCGCTGTGCTGGCGAAACAACGGAGCCGTGGCCCTGCTGATGACCAAAATGGTCTCTTTCCCGATCTTCCGGAGGCAAGGAAGCGCAAATTCGTGCTCGTGGAAGATAGCAGGCGCGGCTCTCGGCTTCGCGTCCGGGTGACACTTGACGGAGTCGATACCAACGAAATTCCAGACAGTTTTCGAACGCGCGTCAGCGTGTATCCGCGTAGCTTCTTCCCTCGAGAAATGCAAAATCCACCGCCGAACGCTCTCGGAGCACAAATCTTCTCAGATGATGCGTCGGATGATGCCATACAGGATACGGACGGGCGTGATGTAAGTAGACGTGGCTCGAAGGTGACCTTGTCAACAATTGTCAAGATACCCTTACCGGACAGTCAGGACGGCGAGATCCTGGTTCCCAATATGAAAAGGTCAAGACGCGCAAGGGAATTGAAACTCAACGACATGGGCCACCGTATGGCCTGGCTGCAGAGTCGAGTCTTCTCAGGCAGAAACTTATTTTTGCAACGCGCCTGTAAGTCCCGCTGAGTCGAGAATACGATTCAAGCGCTGACGATCTATCCAGTGGATTGCTACCGCATCAAAACCTGCGCTGCTATTGAAGGCAACATGCAAGATGTTCGAGCTAGTGCCGCCCACTTTGAGTTGCGTACAGGCAAACGCAGATGGGTTGACCGTAGCCGCCGCGGCACCGATAGGTTGACAGACTGATGAAGTTCGCAGCTGTGCTTGCAAACAAGGGCGGTAGGTTGTTCGTGACGATACGCCATCGTCGCAGTCGCCTGCTTTCCTTGCTTCGCCCCTGCATAGGCCTTGACTGGTACTCTCTACAATAATCCCCCCCTCCCCCCCAATCAGTGTCTATTTTTACCATCCTCGGCATAATCTCAATACTGTAAGTACCTAATTGTTTGGATTTTTAATTTTTGTTGGTCTGATGCTGGAGGCCTCATGAGCTTTCAAAACCAATGTGGTGACTGGATTGTTTATAGTCATAGTGGTCTATCAATCTCATCGCGCGCATGGGCACGAATTATTGGCTATTTTTATGGGTAGCCCCTATTTACTGTCCGTGTCCCTGCAGATAGGTCTAGTTAGATAGACAGCACGCATAATTACGAAAAGGTCGAGTCGTGCACTCAAAAAATGGACGCGCCACACTTTTATGAGCGCTTTACCCCCCTCTAAATAACAACCAAACGTACTTGCTACGCTCAAGAGTGCGCCGACACGCCAACAAACCGATAGACCTGAAAGCTTGATTCCGTGACGGAATTGAAAGCGTCACGAACCAACCGACGCGAAAGCCAGATGTCGCTGTTTTCGAGCTTCCCGGTGAGTCGTTGGCGCTGACGCAGTGCGACGTGCAAGCCGCAGTGGCTCCTGTAGAGAGCGTTGATCTGCTACAAAAAAAATCTCTGGCCATTCTATCTAGATGATGTGTCAAGGTCCAAGCCGGTCCATGAAATACGACGGCCTAGCGACATGTCAAGTGTCACCTACCACAAGCCTCGCCAATGTGTGGCCGTATCATGGGAGTGGGAGCGACCGCCTTGACTATCTAAGTCCTTTCGAACATGATTCAGGTTCCAGCAGTATTATTGATACTACCTCAACAGCAAACGGAAATGCAGATCATAGACCGCCTGGGCAAACCTACCTAGACTCGATAGGTGGCGGAGATACAGTCGAGTCGAGTTCGGCTGCAATGGAACAAGACCACGATCATGCCCTTCGAAGGCCTCATGAGCAACCAGCCTTGCATTCTAGTTGTACCTAATTTGTCACGAAATCGTGATGAATTGATGGCTGTACTGCAATCTCTGGAGTAACAGGTGCATTTGCCGCTGTTGGCTCGTCGCTGAACGGCTCTGCTACTCTGGTACCTCAGTTTCGGGTTGCCACGAACAAGCGTTCAGTAGCATAAACAAGAAGCCGAGTACATTTAAAAACTTAGTTCGTGAACTATATTCGAGGATATTGCCTTGACTGACCGGCCGCAAACAGGCACCGCTCCATCTAGTAGTCAAGACGCTTCGTCGAATGAGAATGACCGGAGCGCTGTTGCATCAGAAACAACTACACAGTTCGAAAATACAACTAGTAGTCCCCAGACTGAGGACATAATAATGCATGCTTCCCGAACACAAACCAGCAAATACAAACTCGAGCCAACTCAGATGAAACTCCAAGTTCAACATGGGAATCGCCAACCGCATTTGCTCTCAACCACCACCCCGATACTCCTTCAAAGAATGCCAGCCTTGTATTTCGAAAAACAGAACATCGAAAGCTTCTACAAAGCCAGCTTTCCATGCATCAAACACAGATCACGCTCAGCTTTTCACGACAACGTCACTACTACCTTCAGCGGAGACATATCCCCAGGGAAAGCAGGCTTTATGTCCGGTACCTAGACCTCATTCAGAGGCGCCGCCTTTACCGCCAGGATCTCATCAGAACGTCGCTCCCGTGGTCGTTCTGATTGACGGAGCTCGCAACGCCGTCACTTTCCCACCCCCTCCAAGAGACCCTATGTGGCTGTATCATGCTGTCACCCCTCCTCCGCAGTGACCACTTGACATCATCTTCCTTGTCATTTTCGTCGCCAAAGTTCCTGAGAAGCTCCTCAGCAAAGGAATGTATAGTGAAAACAAATCAAGTAATCGAGGGCGCTCTCGTAGCTGTGCTGCAGGACCCGGAGGTCACCGCAGCCACCCTGCGTACGACTTGTCAAATCCAGAGAAGTTTTCAATCGTTTGCAGGGATAAGATTAAAGTTTGTCAATCAATGCGAGTGTAGCGTAGCGAAGAACGCTTGATCAAGTCCTGCGACCTGCTGTTTGATGCTAAGCTTGAGCTCTACCAGGTCAACGCCTCAGATCGCTCACTATTTTCTGCTGCTGCGAATTGACATCTATACAATGGCGTATTGATTCAGAACAACTCTACTAGCAGCCTTGCCTCCATTGATCACGATTTTTACAGCTCACAATAGCAGTCACCCAACGATCATGTCTTGTTTAGTCAATATTATGAATGTCAGTCTTCAGACAACGGGGTCCAAATGTGCGTCAGCGTAAAAAGATGTCAAAGGAAGTTGACTTACAGTATAGGCCAATGCTCATGGTTGCGTGGTGCTGGGTTGGGAGTACAGTAAATGAGGTGGCGATATGATTGATACCTGTGGGCGCGCCTAGGAAGTCGGCGGGTGTAGGCCAGACCTTGGCACTCTGGTCATCCCCTTTCTGACTTACTATGCAGCAGATTTGACGCTCGAAACCAAGGACTAGCCGTATCAGCTGCACGCCCTTGCACTTTCATTGTGCATTGGGTGCGTTGACTGAGGCGAGCCCGACGCCCGCGTGACTCGTCATGATTCTTAGGCCGCGCCCGATTATTATTAACAGGGAAGGGCGTGGAGCCCAAGCTGGCACCGCTCAGTGCCACCCGACTTTCTGACGCGCCATGTGTGTGTGAATCTTCCGGTGCTATTATTACGTCTTCATGCAGAGAAAAATTGCTGTGGGCTATACAAGAATTTGCTTGCGTTTTGCTTGCATCTGACGTCGGTTTGGGACACGCCTCTTTTCTGTGAGAAAAATGCGAAGGCTTTCAAGTCTCCAGCTCCCTAGGCACGAGGTAAATGCCGTGAGTAGGTACCTAGGTACGCAGCTTTACAAAGGTGCCTTGACCTAACACACCAGGACAGTACACTGCACAGGCCACACACAAAGCGCTAAAACCTTGACACCGCCCCATTTCTTCCACTGGCTGACACGAGCCCAGCGGCCCCCTCGAAATTCCTTCTGTTGCTAATAAGGCGCTTCTCCCTCTTCTCCTCCCTACCAAGTGGTTTTGCATCTATTGCCCTCTCCCCATCCATTTATCCTCCTCCATCCGCCAACTTCCTCATTGCGCCGGTTTGCATTTACTCTTCGAGACTGACATCTCTTTTATCGAAGATTTGGACTGGGTTCAATAGCCTTGTGCCCGGGAAACAGCGCCCGAATTTGCGTCAAATTCTCGCTTTCGCCACCTTCGGGCCGAAAAAGTCGTCACCGCCCAAATCTCGCCATCCATTACTGACCGCTGCCATCCATCTCTGCATATTGTGCAGCAGCTTGTAAGTACTGTCGACTGCACTATTGCCAACATCGAGCTTCGGCTCCTCATCACTTGCTACAACTATCAACCTGATTCGTATAGTGAATTGGAGAGCCATCCCTTACTGTGTTTGGCACTCATTATCACGATACTGTCATGACTTTCCCCTTGCTATAACTAACTCTCCATTTGCTACTTGACTGATCCGAAGTGGTTTCCTGTCTTAGATATCCTATACCGATCCTTACTTCGAAACCGAGTCACCACCACCTGGGATTCTAACCCTGCAGCGGTTGGACAAACTGTTCCAGAATGACGACAATGGTATGAGACAGATTATTACATGGGCTGTATGGACAGCCCTCGAGCCATCGTCTACATTGCAGTCCGCTCAATTTTCCGTACTAACATCAGTCAATAGGATCTTCGCGTCGGCAACAAATACCGAATCGGTCGGAAGATCGGCTCTGGATCGTTTGGCGACATTTATCTGGGTACCAACATCATCTCTGGGGAAGAAATTGCCATCAAATTGGAGTCTGTGAAGGCAAAGCATCCTCAGCTTGAGTACGAGGCACGCGTGTACAAGTCGCTAGCCGGCGGCGTTGGCATTCCATTCGTTCGATGGTTCGGAACTGAATGTGACTACAATGCTATGGTTCTTGACCTCCTCGGGCCCAGTCTGGAGGACCTGTTCAACTTTTGCAACCGCAAGTTCTCGCTAAAGACGGTCCTCCTTCTCGCCGATCAGCTCATCTCTCGCATCGAATATATCCACGCAAAGAGCTTCATTCATCGAGACATCAAGCCTGACAACTTCTTGATGGGCATCGGAAAGCGTGGAAATCAAGTCAATGTCATTGACTTTGGTCTCGCCAAGAAGTACCGCGACCCAAAGACTCACTTCCATATTCCTTACCGCGAGAACAAGAATCTTACTGGTACCGCCCGCTACGCCTCAATCAACACTCATCTTGGCGTGGAGCAATCTCGCAGAGATGATATGGAGTCTCTGGGCTACGTCATGCTTTATTTCTGCCGCGGTTCTCTTCCGTGGCAGGGACTGAAGGCTGCTACCAAAAAGCAAAAGTATGACCGCATCATGGAGAAAAAGATGACGACGCCCACCGAAGTCCTTTGCCGCGGCTTCCCTAACGAATTCGCCATATATCTGAACTACACCCGCTCTCTCCGCTTCGATGATAAGCCGGACTACAGCTACCTTCGCAAGATCTTCCGTGACCTCTTTGTCAGAGAGGGCTTCCAGTACGACTACGTCTTCGACTGGACTGTGTACAAGTATCAGAAGAATGCTCAGGCTATCGCCCAGGCTGTTGGTCAAGTCGCCGACGATGACGAGAAGGCACGCGCTTCACGAGTTAACGCCACTGCGGCCACACCCTCGGGTGCTGCCAAGCCTGGTGCTATCCCCAGCTCTCGCCGCAAGATGCTTGAGCGTGGATCCGGTGCTGGCGTTGACACACCAGACACCAGCCGCGCCATCGGTGGAAGCGATAGGATGTGAGTTCCTTATGAAGCATAATCTGGTTTCTTGACGAATATTATTTCTATGGACATGTGGACTTGCACTCGAACGTTTCACCGAACAGACATTTGCTGACAAGTGCGGCTGACTCAGTGGACGATAAACAGGCTTCGCTCTGCTTCAAAAGGAGCGGGATACGCCTCTCGCAGTCACCGACAAAAATGATGTTGGCAAGGGCTCAGCTTCTGGCACATTCTCGAGACTGTAGCTGGGGACACCCAACGATCCTCACCAGCAGAGGGCAGCCAGTGCTTGGCTGCCACTGCCATGCGGTGGCAATCCTTGGGAGTGCGGTCACTGTTCGCTTCAGTGGCCCCCAGTCTATTTCTACACAATGCATCGCACTATTTTGTTCTTAAACGCATCATACATTTACGACTTCAGCCATGGCTCGGATGCCGTCGCATGTGGGAAACACGATCAGATCAGGCTGGTGTATGGTCTGCGCTCGTGCTTCTCCGTCGACGCTGCATCGGAAAGGCATGCCCGGGTATGTCATACGGCATTCCCGAACTTCCTGGACCATCCGTCACACCGTGAAGAAGGGAAAGCTTGCTGGCTTTCCCTCATGGTAGACTGCACGTAACTATGGTCCTATGATGTCCAGCTCGCCGATGCGGAGGATGCGTTCAGAACTCAAATTTCCTTGTTCATTATGTTGCTGTTCGTTTTTTTTAGTTCGTCTTCGGTGGGGCATTGGTTTCCTCGGTCGGCTGGTCGACTTGGCATGCGCCACAACTCAAATCGCGATGCCATTGGGACCTGGAAAGCAACTTCGCTGAGGAGTTGCCCAATATGTCGGCGTGTGGCGGCAGGTGATTCATGCTGGCAGCCGCTTGCACAGCGCCTTCGCTGTGGAGGACGATCATAGACACGTGTATCACCCAACATTTCGGACGAATGTCTTTCATAGTCAATTCGCTCAGCGGAATTCTGTGAAATGCTCTTGATTTAAAGTCTGTGATCCATGGAAGTCTCACGCGAGAAGCCTTTGGCAAGAAAGCGCTCAAAGATGTTCGTTATAGGAGCCTATGACCCTTTAGAAGAGTGTACAACGATAGTTAACAGATTGCTTTTTCTCCTACAACCCTCAAAATGAAGATGAATCCGCTGCGAAAGTCGGTGTAACGAGATCGATATTGAGATAGACGCTGGTGTCACGCGGCCACTCATAGCTCCCCCGCCGCGCCACATGATGGCGTGCATGAGATTGTCAGAGCTGTTGGGTGGCGGTGAGGAAGTTTGTCTTGTCTCCAACGTAGCTACCTAGGTACCTGCCTCTGGCGTTTCAAAATAAATTTCGAGTCACTGGTATTAGTATTATCTTGTTATCGAGAGCATGGCTCCACTCACTACCTAAGTCGAGATGAAGAGTCTAGTTAGCGACTTCATTTCTAGTGGTAGATCCCAGCACGTCAATGTACCTTTAGAGTGAAGCACGGAAAGATGCCGTGAGACAAAGGCCATCACTTGAATCTCAAAGTACATACGCCTTCGCTTGGAAATGTATCCGTACATACTTCAAGGGATGGCTAATTTCCTGCCGAAACTGCTTGTCTCGTGCCTGATCAGGTGTGAGAAATCCGTAATAAATAAAAGAGCCAGCACCGCTAATATCGTCCCCGTACAACCCACTCGCCCACCCGAGCTCTCCACCCTTTTCCCCAATGCCAGCTTGTGTGATAAGGAGGGCGTGTGGCTGTGATGAGCAACATCCTTCATGGTTTCATCCAAGAGTGCAGAAGTAAAGCACAATGGCACCCTCAAAAGTTGACCTTCTTTTTCTAACATTCAACTGCGCGAAAGCTTTGATAAATACTGCGGTATTTGCCAACCATCTAGAGGCGGCCTTCGGCCAGAATGCCACAGACCTGCCGGACCTCGTTGTCTTGTACGTATCTCGCAATATCCGTCGCGAGAATTTCAGTGCTAACTTGCCGTCAAGGTCCCTCCAGGAGGTTGCGCCATTGAGCTATGCATTCATCGGCGATTATTTCCTACGGCCCTACATCGAACGTTTTGACACTGCCGTTAATCAAGCTGCATCCCAGTATGATCTGAAGCTCGGAGTGGCCGACGGGACACCATCTGCTGCCGAACGAACGACACAGCGAAAACGCTACGAGCTGATGAAGTCAAAAAATGTTGGGTATACGGCCATTCTTCTGTTTGCCAGGGACTCGAGTCGTATCAAGGACATAATGGGTGCTGAAGTTGGATTTGGTGCTGCCGACATGGGAAATAAGGGTGCTGTCGGTCTCAGAATCCTTTACGATGCAGGAGAGTGCGGCTCTGCAAATCTCACGTTCGTCGCAACACACTTAGCCGCCATGGAATGGAATCTACCTCGTCGCAATGCCAATTGGGCTTCTATCATGCGATGCATGGCATTCGGAGACCCGTTACCTCTGCTCGAGAGAATGCGCAGTGGTAGCCTCAAGCCACCTGACGACGACTCGGAAGGAGAAGGCGTGGGATTATTACAAAGAGATCGGCATCCACCAGACACGGGTGCGTTACAAAAGCAACTGCACGAGCTATCTCTCTTCAAACCTACTTCGCATCTTTTTGTCGGCGGAGACCTCAACTACCGTATATCCACTAGCTCTCCGCCCCCGAATGCTGCTTTTCCCAGCCTAGATGCCGGATCAGATAATTATTACCCAAGGTTCTTCAAGCTAGACCAACTCACGCGGGAAAAGGCAGCAGGCAGGACTTTGCATGGGCTGACTGAGGCTGAGGTGCACTTTCCTCCAACTTATAAGTATGAAGTGCTAGAGAGCGGGTTCAAGGATGTGAACGAGATGGATTCTGTTTCGTGGAGATTTGCTCCGCATCGTTACCCCGGCTGGACAGACCGTATCCTGTATTTGGACCTCCCCAGCTGGGCTGCTACCGAGCAAGGCAACGGCAATATGAAGGTCAATGCGTACGACGCCCTTCCGCTGATGCGCACAAGCGATCATCGACCCGTTTTTCTTCGCATTGAAGCTCCGATACTTAGCTCATCGGCATTAACCCCATCTGCAGAGGTATTGGCCACCTCTACAGATCCTCGCGTGCGGCTCCCGACAGAGTTGGACCCGGAGGCATGGGAGCGTCGCACGGCGGCGAGACGGCGCGAGCTACTTCTGGGTTGGAGCATGTTCCTCTGGAGCACAAAAGAGGGTGCATATATTCTAGCCACTTTCTTGGCTGCCTCCATCGGCGGCTATTGGGTATATCACTTAGCATAGACATAGTCACAATGTATGATCCCATGACCAGTTAAACTGTCCCTGAATGCTATATCTTCTTGTCTGTGTAGTGGTTGCGCTTGCCACGGCGTCCATGACACTTCCCGAGTATTATACTTGTTAGCTTAGCCCCTAACAACCTGCTGGCCGTCGGCCGTCATTCGCTTCCAGTCAATATGAACGAGCATGACCCCCAGGATAGTAACCTCCGAGAACTAGAAGTCCCCAAAGTAATGGTCATACTGTTCGGCCATGTCTAGTGTATATGTTTCCCGCTTCCCGTCATCCTCCGGATATATATCAAAACACTGCGCATCGCCGGGATAGCGGATGGGCGGGATGATAGGCCCCGAGATCCGTCGATGCAGTATGTCAGTCCACTTGAGATCTCGGAAGAATGGATGCGCTTTTACTCGGGTCGCTCCTCCGCTAACGTTTCCTAATCTCCGCGAGCGATCCACTGTACAAAAAGAACAGATAATATCCCTGGCCTGGTGGGAGATCGGCGGGTCTGCTGGAAAGGCGATAGGTTTTTCTACAATCCTGTCACGACAATTAGGAACAACCCATCGCGAAACTGCACGGCCGCTCACTGTTTGTAAATCTCTAGCGGATTTTGGTGCCAAAATGGAGGGTAGCCTGTGAGAAACTCGTAAAGTAGTATGCCAAGCGCCCACCAGTCTACGGCTGTAGTGTGGCCCTGGTTATGTATTACCTCTGGTGCCAAGTATTCTGGAGTCCCGCAAAGCGTGTACGTCTCTACAGGTCGGTCATCGTGATGTCCAAGCCTTTTGGCGAAGCCGAAATCGACGAGTTTGATATGACCGTCCTTATCAAGAAGCAGATTCTCAGGCTTGAGGTCCCTGTAAGCCACGCCGCCCTGCTGCTCGTGGAGGAATTCGAGCACCAGAACAATCTCCGCGGCGTAAAATCGGGCAACTGGTTCGTCAAAGCGACGAAACTTCCTGAGATAACTAAAAAGCTCGCCGCCGGGTACATAGTCGAGGAGCATGTATAGTGAGTCGGCGTCGGCAAAGGATGCAATCAGGTTCGTGATGAAAGGGTGGCCGGCGACATCGGCAAGCACTGCACGTTCATGGCGCACATGATCAATCTGCTTCAGTCTGATAACCTCTGTCTTTCGAAGAATTTTCAGCGCATACACCTCGGAATCATCTTGCCGGTCAAGCGCCTCCGTCGCGCTGGCCGGCCGGACAAGGCAGACTCGCGCAAAGGTGCCTAAGGAGGTCAGCCGGGTGTGGATGGGAGCCTCGCGCGAGGCAGCAGGAGGGTACACGAACCTGTGCCGAGCGTTCTGACGAGCTTGAAATTAGACAGTTTGAAATCGCGCACTGGCGGTTGCGGCTGCACAATGCTGCTACCGGGAGCCGACATGTTAGGCTCCGCAGCCGCCATGCCATAACCAGCAGGCTGCGCAACAGAAGATGACGCCATGGTGCCCGCTAAGTATGCGTTTGTTTGGCCTGGGTGCAATCGAAGAGCAATATTTTGCATTCATAGCCCGCGACCAATCTTGTGAGACAAGACGCTGTGTCTAGCACGCCAAGCGACTCAATGCTGCGATCTGGTGCGATCCATGACCGCAACCAAGTTCGCAGATGGCGGATTGAAAGGTCACTTTCACTTCTGGTCGAGCGGCAGTCGAAAAGGGCGTATGCGCAGGCGTCTTCTCCGGGTCAGTCGAGTGTTGATCAGAGCGAGCTGTATGTATCAGACTGCGATGCAGCTTCTCGAGTCGCAAGTACCAGTATCCTCTCGACCGCGCCATCACAGCGCGTCGAGATGATGCTTAACACCCGCTCCAGTGTGTCAGGTGGGGCAGTGGCACAACTGCCGCCGGGTGCAAGGTACTTCTTCTGGCAGCTGTGCGTGCTGTGGTGGCTTGCTGAGGTACCTACATGTACCTACCTACCTACCTAGGTACCTAGGTAGGCTTGCTAGGTACAAGCCCGTGAAGCCCCTAAATACTTAGGGAGCCTCAATTGCTTGTACCCATCGCAGCCCACCACCAGCCAGTACGTGCCGTGTATGGGTGGGAGCTCCACCGCTTGAGGTCAGGGAGGCAGGCAATGACATCTGTAGCGCCAGATATTATCACACAGGAAGAGTAGTCCATTTGCCAAAGCAAAGACAGTACTTGTGTCGCTCTTGTACGTTTAGAACGCCGCGCCGGCATCTTTCAGGTCATCTGACTATCTTCCGCCTAATCGTGCTTCCATCATTTACGCTCCGCCGCACACGATTTGGTGTGTTCGCCCCCCTCCCCCCACTGCTGCAAGGGCTGAGACGACGAGGGCTACATTCCGTCGCCCTGCGCGTGTGATGAAGAGGCATAAACCATGTTCTCCAACTTCACCAATATAGTGCAAAAGGCACAGCAGCTCATTGACCCTACACAGGGACTGAATCTCTCCAGCTCTGATCGAAACCCCTCCAAGGCGTCGCTGTTCCAGAGTCAATTCCGTCTCCCTGCGTCCCAGAACCCCCTCTACGAAATCACCGCCGAGCTGACCATCCCGCCATCGAACGCTACGGGTGGAGAAAAGGAGCACGATAGAGGCTGGCACTATGCGGGAAAATTGCACCTGTCCGAGGCGTTTATCTGCTTCTCGACAACGCCCACCAGCTTTCTGCATTCGGCGAGCACGAGCAGTTCGTCCGCCTTCACCGGCCAGACGCACGGCGGCGGGCCTAGCGGTAATGGATTTACCTTCCCTCTGTGCGCCATTAGGCGTGTCGAAAGGCTCAACAGTCAAAACTTTCAGGTACCGAAGGGAAGACGGCCCGGGTTTCCAAAGCATTCGCTAACTGTACGTGTGTAGTTTGCCCTGGCCATCACGACGTGGAATGGGCTCCTCTTGGAGAACCAAAAAGACAAAGACGCCGGAACGAAGGACAAGAGAGACACCAAAGAACAGCGCATCACTATTCATCTCGCGGGCCCTAGACAGGCGTGTGAGCGGTTCTGCGATGGTCTGAAGAAAGGCCTGCGGGCCGGTGTGAGTAATGTAGGAAAGCTGCGCAGGGTCGTCGCCGAATGTTACTCGGAATACCTCTTGCGACCTGAGGAGAAAAAAGACAGTATCCCCCCCGACGCAGGACTTGGCCTGATATTCCGTTACCCTGGCGACCCAAAGAAATTGAGAGATCGGGCCAAGATGCGACTCTGGGCAGAGTACCTTCGCGACAACGGCAGAAGCGCTACGCTTATTCGACAACCCACCTTTCACAAGCTTATCCGGGTTGGCTTGCCAAACAGGCTACGAGGCGAGATGTGGGAGCTGACTTCGGGCTCCCTGTACTTGCGCCTAGAATCCCCGACCCTCTACGCGGACACCTTGGCCAAGTTCAAGGACCAGGAGTCGCTGGCCATTGATGAGATTGAAAAAGATCTCAACAGAAGCTTGCCAGAATACCCCGGCTTTCAAAGTGAAGACGGAATCGGACGCCTCCGCCGCGTGTTAACTGCCTACAGCTGGGTCGACACGGACGTCGGCTACTGCCAAGCGATGAACATCGTCGTGGCCGCCCTCCTGATATACATGTCTGAATCTCAAGCTTTCTTCCTGCTGTCTGCGCTGTGCGACCGGCTGGTACCCGGATACTACTCCACCACCATGTACGGTACGCTCCTAGACCAGAAAGTCTTCGAGTCTCTCGTCGAGCGCACCATGCCCGTGTTGTGGGAACATCTAGTCAAGAGTGACGTACAGCTCTCCGTTGTTTCGCTGCCATGGTTCCTTTCTCTGTATATCAACTCCATGCCGCTCGTGTTCGCCTTTCGTGTCTTGGACGTCTTCTTTGTCGAGGGCCCGAAGGTGCTTTTTCAGGTCGGTCTGGCCATTCTGCGCATCAACGGAGAGGAGCTGCTCGATGCTGCGGACGACGGTGCGTTCATATCGGTCCTGAAGACTTACTTTGCACGGCTAGACCAATCTGCCCACCCCAAATCCGAGAATCCCAAGCTCCGAGCCGTGACCCGGTTTCAGGAACTCATGGTTGTCGCCTTCAAAGAGTTCTCGGGCATCACCCATAGCAGCATCACAGAGCTACGGCTGCAGAAGAAGGATGCAGTCCTCAACAATATCGAAAATTTTGCTAAGAGAACGGCCATTCGAAACCTGGGCCCAGACAGCAAGCTCCTGTCCAACGACGAGCTGGGCTCTCTCTACGACAGATTTTACAATGTGCTGTACGAACGCCAGCAGCGAGATCGCATGATGCAGGAGGAGGCGCAGCGCCGTGCCAAAGCCAGCAGAATGCGCGCGTCCGAGATTTTCCCCAGAGGTGTCCCGGACCAGGTCGAAAAAGGTCGTGTCGGGCTGGGGCCAAGTACAAGCTTGATGGACTATGATGCCTTCCGTGAATTTCTTGCCAGCATGGCCCGGTGGGCGGTCTCGGACTCGCCCGGCCAGTCTAGAAGGAGCACCGCAGTGGGGATGGAGCGACATGGCGGGGTCAACGACAGCCCGGGCATCTCTATTAGTAGCTCGCACTGGGGAGCCGGGCCCGAGCCGACACAACACGAGTTTCTGGAGCGCCTGTTCAAAAAATGGGATATCGACTGCAACCAGGCTCTCACTTTGCAAAATGTTGTTTCCGGCCTGGCGGGCATTAAGGGCAAGAAGGATATTATGGGCACTATTACGTACTTCTTCGAGCTCTACGACGATGACGGAGATGGCAAAGTCGACCGAGAAGGCATTCTGCGCATCTCAGAGGCGCTCCTGTTCCTATCACGGCGCGGCTTGGAAGGGCCCTTGAGTCCGTCAACCCTGGCCAGCACCGATGGTAGTACCGAACCTCTTGACAGCCATGCTGCTGCGGCCTCTATAAACGAGAGGTTTCTCGGTAGTGTTAGTGCCTTCATTCGCCGCTGCTTCGAATATGCGGATCCGGACCATCCGAAGAAAGACAAGAACGAGGACCTCATCCCGGTTGACACTGATCATCGCTCCGGAGCTGCAGACGCATTTGCTGTGGGCGATGATGATGATGATGATGATAACAACGATGACGATGGCGATGCGATCGGAAACGAGTCCATGTCAGCTGCAGACAAACCGGCCAACCTAGTCGGCCTTGTCAATGCCACCCCGCAAGGCCACGACAGCTTGAGGCACAACGCCAGCAAGGCAAAGGCCGAAGCCGCCAATGCAGCACTTGATCCTGCTCACCCCCTTCACATTACTCTGCCAACATTTCGAATGGTAGTATTGGCGGACGAACTTTTGGAGCAGTTCTTCGAGTCGTCGTTCCCTCTGTCATTTCACATCGTGGAGGGAGTTTCGCACACTCTCACTTCGTCTGGATCACTCACCACCTTCTCAAGCTTAGGCTTCGGTACTAGGCATCAGATCCCACCACAGGTCGGCCCGCCTGGCGCGGGTAGGGGACTTCGCGGCGTCTTGGACACTATCGTGACTGACGGTATGCGAGTCGCTACCGAAGTGCGACGGCGCATGGAAGAAGCACAGAGAGAGCTGGAAAAGAATGCTGTGCCCGGCCAACGCGCTTATGACGACGAGGATGAGGATGATGATATGACTCTGCCTGCCGAGGTGACATCCGAAATAGGCACAGACATCGAGCGCCGCTCTGTCCGTAGCTCCGACCGCGACTTATTGGACGGCGCTGATGCATCCGCTGGCGCTTCGGCAAAAGAGGCTGGCGAGGGGCTGGTGGACTTGGATGCAGAGGAGAAATCTGTTATCCAGCCTGCGGCACACGAAGGTGTCGGTGTGGTGGAATTCGGCACTTAAAGAAAGACGAGGCATTGTCAGGATGAAGAAGCCGGTTTCCGCATACTCTCTACTATCCATTGCAATTCACATTGGAAATCCATGCAGCGCCGTCTCTGGCCTTGAGCTATTCCACCTCGAAGCCTTCTTGCCGAGCCTCTCTTGTATTAGCATTATTTCTGTCTGTGATGTCATCTTTTGCCGCGAACAAAAGACCATTCTGAAGTGTGTCTTTGCATCGGTAGATGCATACGGACCACGGCTCACAGGTAACAGAGTCTTCCGTCATTCCTCTAGGATCAACAGTGAGTGTGTCATCCTAGCTTGTCATATCCCTTGGACTGTTAGGAGGGAGCGAGCACGTATTTAAAAGACTATGGCCAGGCCGGTAGCGGGCCGAGATGGCTTCCTTGCTTGCTTGCCAGGCACATGAATATGTGTTCTCTACTAGTAGTACCTTTCTGTCTATGGCCCACGGATCTCGTGACTGCTTGCTCCTTCTAAATGGTCAGAGGGATTGGCGATATCGGCTCGTGAAGTAATTAACAAACCCGTCTCTTCGCACGTTTCAGGGATCACAGTAGCATGGAGATCCTCATGAATGTTAATTGGGTCGTGAATAATTGCAACTTTCAGTTTCGAGGGTCAACTGGCACACAGCTGCATGAGGTCATGAGGGCATATTAGGCGTGGACTTCCAGGTGGAAGATCACTCAGTGCAATCACAGACTCATGGGTTTTCAAGATCCCGCCATCTAATAAAGCATAGCGGTTAAAAGATTATATTAGGGCCGTATCGAGCACCATGGCAATAAACCATGGTGGGGGACATATATTAAGCTGTGTCGGATTTTTAGATTTCTTTTGGAAATTAGTCATGAGAAGCATAGATGTCCTGTGTCACAAAGTGCCAGGTCAGTATACATCAAATCATAAATGAATGTGCCTTTCGAACTGCTTGAAAAGGTTCCGCTCGCAATTTAGCTGTGCCAAGGATATTTGCAAGTGTGTGACGTAATAAATGAAATAAAAGGTCGATCAGCTCCTTCTACTAGACCAGATTTTAAACAGTAATGAGTTTTTTCGCACCGATGCTCGTAGAAGGCCTTTCATCCTCTTTTTTTTTCGAGCGATATCCATACTTCACGCAGTGAAGCGGTAGAAGGAGCGCACCCCAGACAGTTTATGAAAAGGTAATCAAAGGGGCTCAGTAGGAATCGAACAAAATTTGTCATACTTCCCAGTCTCCGGCTTGGAATTTTCACGGCCTTGCTGGCCCAGATAGGCTGTCAATTCTTTTTTCTTTCTTCTACCCCTTGTACACTGACTGTATTGAGCTTGTGAGCGTCTCACATTGTATCCACAAAATTGCACATGATTGCAATCATTCAGTCACTAGGTATTCAATTAACGCTTTGATATAATCTCAAAAACCTCTAGATTACTAGCACCCATCTTCAGTGCATCTTCGTGGCTTCTTTCACGTTCTTTGTCTAGGTCGTCGGTTCTACACATCAGCTACGCCCTTATCATTCATTCATGAACGAGCACGGACAAGTAGGGTATGGCTTCTGCCTGCTCAAAAACGGTAGCGAAGTGTTTAATTCGAATTATTTAATTTAATTTGTTTATCGCCTAGGGGAAGCCTTCTATGTAACTAATAAACGTACCTTCACTACATTAGCTAAAACTAGTACAGCTAACTAATATAAGTATTTATTATAGTATATAGGTTATATATAAAGGGCTATAGAAAGTAAAAATAGTAATATATATTCTCTATAGAAGCTTCTTTATATACTTATATAACGTATATTAAGTAAGTTTTAATTAAATAACTTTAGTTATTTAGTACTATTAATAACTAATTTAGGTTAATTTAGCTATAGTTATTTTAGTAATTATAATAAAGTATATAAAACCTTAAATTATAGAAGTATATTTTTAAT